TACGTGGGGACAGCCTGGTCAATTAGCTGCAACACGTCCTGACAAGCTAGCACATGCACATGCACACACACATAGATGTAGCCCTATCTGCAGTGGATCGGGGAATATCATGAGTACAAGTATTTGATAAACTGCGAGTGGCGTGCACGTCACATGTTAAGAATACCGTAAATCTTTGAATAAACGCCGAATATTTTCTTGTTTAATCGCACTCTGCAAAACTGCAGGTCTGTGAAGGCGTGTTGTAAATAATTGAGTTGGCCAGACAAAGCAGTGACTGATATCGTGAACAAAAGAAATATACAACACAACGGGATTAGCCTTCCTTGGTCCTATTCACCAACCTAGACCATCGCACTGTAACACTCATACCTGACCGCCGTGATATTGCTGTACTATTGCTAAAAGCGGTGTAAAACTAAACTCACTCACTGATACCTGACCTCTGTTAGTCTAGGGTGGTGGATAGGACCGAGGAAGGTTGAGACATTGAGAACAAGTCAACACTTAACCCCAGATCAGATACGAGCACAGGAAATAGCGTCACGAACAAACACCTTAACCACAGGGCTAATCCCGCTGTAGTCGAATAGCAGATACAGCTGAAAATACGTCATTATTTGATTTACTGAAAGAGTTCTTTAATTTAAAAGATAGGATAATAAATTTTGAAAATGCACTAATAATAGACTTTAATGTACTGTATTCATGCACTTTTTCAGGCTCATGGCTGTAAAATATATTTAACGAAAGAATTCCTTAAACGATTACCCCTCTATTCGACTCTACAGCAGCACGTGTCACATTCATCATAGGCTTCTCTGTACAACGAACGGGATGTCGCTGTACTGAGATTAATGAAACCATATACTCTCCCAAAAAAGAAACGCATCATGAAATAGCAATTTCATGTAGCAATGAATTAAAACGTGATTCATTTTACAAAAGGTTTTGCTCTGTTTATATGTCCTATGGAGTTTTGAAACATCACAACAAAATCAGATAGTCTCAATGATGGGTATAAAAAGGTTGATCGCTGTCTGTCGATTATTCACTGTATTTGGAATATTGTTGACGAACGCAAAATGCCACGTCAAAGTGAAGTCAACCGTCATATCGCTATTGGTTTGCTTGAAGCTGGCCAGTCTCAACGTGCAGTTGCCCGACGCATGAATGTTCACCAAAGCACAATTTCACGGCTCTGGGAGAGATATCGCCGGCAGAATGCGGTAGCAGATTCCCCTCGTAGTGGGCGACATCGAACGACCACTGCGGCGCAGGATCGCTACATCCGGGTACATCACCTGCGTCATCGAACAGCTACGGCGACCAGTACCGCTCGACAAATACCCGGATTGAGGAGGCTTTCTGCAAAGACCGTCAGGTACAGGTTGAGAGAGGCTGGTTTACGTGCCAGAAGACCTTATTTTGGCTCTGTGCTTCGACAACAACATCGTCGACATCGAGTTCAATGGTGCACCAACGTTCAGGCCTGGAACCAACCGAATTGGCGTAGAATCTGGTTCAGTGATGAATCACGATTTCTATTGGAACGACGCGATGGAGGAATGCGGGTGTGCAGACGTCGATGTGAACGTTTCGCCGACGCTTGCGTTCCCCAGGTGGACAGATTCGGCCGGGGTAGTGTTATGATGTGGGGAGCGATCACCTGCCGTAGGAGAAGTGATTTGGTGATGATCCAGGGCAACCTGACAGCTCAACGGTACTGTGACGAAATCCTACGCCCACACCTCCTTCCAATCATTGATCGCCAGAGGGAATTGTTTCAACAGGACAATGCCAGGCCCCACACAGCACGTCACACTAGAGACTTCCTCCAGAACCACAACATCAATGTGCTCCCCTGGCCCTCAAGATCACCGGACTTAAACCCGATCGAACATCTGTGGGATGCCCTGGACAGAAGGGTGCGACGCCGTAACCCTCAGCCCCAGACACTTCAGCAACTTGCACAGACACTACAGGCAGAGTGGGCTGCGATTGGGCAACACAAGATTCTGAGACTTATTCGTTCGATGCCGAGGCGATGCCGTGCAGTTCTGGATGCCCACGGTGGTCACACGAGGTATTGACTTCAAACTTACTTTCCTCGAGTTGGTGCCAAAGACGGATAAGTCTGCATTCCCAGTGTGCAATTTCGCTATATTTCATTAACTCATAAAGCCTACAACATGTTTCAAAATAAACATAAAAATACAGTTGAAATTCTTATATGCGTTTCTTTTGGGAGAGTATACATGCAGATAACATCGGCATTTTGACCGATGAGCGAGGCACTGAATCAATACAGCTATGTGTTTATCATTATGTTTGACATATATTTCGGTTTTGTTTATCAAAGTACGGAACGGAGAAAAGATATAAATAGATACATATCCCTCCCTAGTTATGTAACAAAAGTGGATGTCTGTTACAACCTCGACCTTAGTTTGAGACCCTCCGGCAGCGAGATAACCCGACAACCGTGTGTCTATACATCTGATATCAAACATCAGCTTCTTATAAATAATTAAACTAATTTAAAATCTATTTTTCCTAAATTGCCTCCCTCAGAAGAAAAGAGTCTTTCATAGCACTTAAGGTTTTTTCTGACTTTTAAAACTTTGGACTCATTTCTGAGACCTTCACTCGTATCTCGGTAGGACTGGATTGTTTTTTCTGCTGACTTCAGCAAATCCCGAGGCCTTATCTCAAAGGGAAGCTTGAAGCTAAGTGACATTTGTATCAAGTTGTAGTCTGGGTGTCCAACAGGGATACAGAAAAAACTTGTCTAAACGACGAGGAATTAGCGCCAGCGTTAGCACTGCCACTAAGTCAGATCACTGATATAGCCAGCATTGCACATGGTCGAAGGATGTTTTTACGATTATCTATAGGCCTAAAATAGAACGAATATGAATAAGTATTTTGTGGCTCATTGTGAACTAACTCCGCTCTGGGCATTATTTCATTTCTGGACCGTCTACGACTTGCGATCTGTTGGCTCTCCTTCCACTGTAAACCCCAGGAATACCCAGTTCCAGGCTACCCACAACAAGATATGTCTTGACCCATATATCCAACGAAGCCGAAAATAATGAATAAATAGAGCCCACTGTACCTTGGGTGTCGTAAGAAATGTAGGTTAATGTTTATATAAACTGACGCAGAAAAGAAAGTGGACGTCAGGTGTTTGGGTATTATATTTAAACGTCTTTTCATTGTAACTTACAAGTAACGTCTGCTGAAAAGAGTTTCGGTGGCAATGAAATGCGCGGTCACCTGACGTTGAAACGTCGTGACGTTGAAGGAGTCGAGGCAAGAATGTGGCCCACCAGCCTTTCACGTTTTTGAACGATCAAGCGGCGAACAATTTACCACGACAGCAGTTTTTGACATCCATGTGCATGCACATGCACATGTTGCAAGTGCTCATTCCGAAAGCGCTGACGTAGCAAAACGTAGTATGAGTGAGTGAGTTAAAATTTAACTTCACCTCGGCAAAAACGTAGTGTGAAAAGAATGTAATTAAGTGTTGCCACAATAATGAATGACAGCTATTTCATCATGAATGAATCTGTTGGTAGTCATAACGCCTCGTACCCTGTGTGCATGAAGAGACAACACTGTCTACCTTCCCACAGTGACCGCCTCCGTGGTGTAGTGGTTAGAGCGTCCGCCCAGAGAGCGGAAGGTCGCGGGTTCGATCCCCGATCGCGTCATACCAAAAGACGTTAAAATATGGTACTTGTTGGTCCCTGCCTGGCGCTCAGCATTAATGGGTACAACAAGGACTGGTCGGATCGGAGTCAGTATAATGTGTCTGAGTGGGATAGTCATGCTTCACTGCGGCATAGTATCTCAGTGGGCTAGCACTATAAAACCAGCTTCAGTCTGGGCTAGTACAAGCAGCCGCACATACACATACACACGCATGCACGTCGTCATATGAGCGAAACATTCTCAAGCACGACGTTAAACCCAATTTCACCTCACCTCACCTACTTTCCCACATTGTTTGAGAAGAACATAGATGACAACGTCTTGTCCATGCATATAGAGCGACGTTTTGGCGTAGATGGTTACGCCGTTATCAAGCTTGAAGTGTCTTTTACGGGGCGGTGTGCTAGCCTGGTGGTTTAAGCGTCCCACCGACACAAAAAAAGTCCCGGGTTCGATTACAGTGTAAGAATGTACACCGAAACGTCACTCTATGCAATAAACAAGTTTCTTTGAGAGGCATTTTAGAAGTTGTGTAGGTGAAGGAAAACCAAGTTCTAGGGATAGTCAACTTCTTTATTACAATGGGCGCGACGTTTCGGTGTAAGTCACTTGCTTGATAACGGTGATAGTACCTACACTGAAACGTCGCACTCATTGCAATAAAGAAGTTGACTATCCATAGAACTTGGTTTTCCTTCAACAAACAAGTTGTTTCCATCAAGTCGTATCCTGTGTTACTTTCCCACACTGTTATATATATATATATCATCTGGATTGTAGATGTGTACTTATCAACTTATACTGTTATATCTGCATCTCCTCACGCGATGTTTGCAATTTCTGTATGTTTTAATATATTGAAATATACTCATGCCAATATCGGTTGTCACCCCTTCAATTTTTAATTGGAGAGGGGTGTGGGATGGGGTGTGAGGTTGGGGTGGGGAGGGGGTGACAACCATTATTGGCATGAGTATATATTACATCTGGCGCTTTCAAGAAGATATCACTTAAAATTATTTTGCTGTTCATCACTGGATTGTCTGGACCAGACTCGATTATTAACAGACCGCCACCATATATCTGGAGTATTGCTGAGTGCCTCGTAAAACAACAAAGAAAACCAAACCATACTTTTTTTGGAATAGACGCTTCATTGTGATCGCCAAACCACGCATCTCATAAAATATATTACGGGCGCTTTAAAAGTAAAGCCCGTTTCCTGTGATAATGGTTGATTTGCTTGCGAGTGATGTATGATAATGTATGTCTTGCAGATTCCCTTCACCGGCTCCAGCATGAACACTGCACGGAGCTTTGGCCCGGCTGTTGTGATGTGGAACTGGACACACCACTGGGTAGGTACATCAGTGAGTGAGTGAGTGAGTCGGGCGAGAGGTAAATGGAGTTGCTTTGATCAGTATTTCAGTATTTCACCATGTGCAAAAACGCATTATGTCGGAAGGATCGTTCTTGGTCAGATGCACTGGGCGAATCACTCATACGAGGATATTTCTATATATCATCAACTTTATGATGTAGCATAGTGGATAAAGCGTTCCCTCGTCACGCTGTTCAAAGCGGGTTCCATTCCCCACTTTGGTATGTAATGTGTGAAGCCCATTTCGGGCGCTCTCATCGTTGATATTCCTGGAATATTGCTAAGAGCGCAAAACGTTAGTCAGTAATAACACACACGCTGCTTATAATATTTACATTTGTTTCTCCCACAGGTGTACTGGGTGGGGCCGATCATAGGGGGTGTGGCAGCCGGCCTCCTCTACGAGCACGTGTTCGCCGTCAACGCGTCCATGTCTAAGGCAAAGGCGTGCATGTTGTCTAGCGCCTACGACGACGAGAAGTACGAGGCCCAGAAGCTGAAGATCCGCATCTTGGAGGAAGATGATGACGTAGAGACGATCAACCTGAAGGAAGCGGAGGCTGGGGAGGGGAAGGGGGCTAAGTCGAACCATGACGACCCCCAGGTCGAGGTGTAGAACAGACTGTACGCTGTGCCGCTAAGTCTCGGCGTTCTCTCGCGTCTTACCAAACTGCTACTACGGTCGTAGCTACGTACTGCTCCGTTTTGAAATTCAGGTTTGAGTTCAGTTTCGTACTGGATCGCGAGTTCAGGTTTTACATTGCTTGGCAAAATTGGAATTCTAATTTGAAGGTGTATCTATATACACGCTGATTTGATGTAAAAATGTAACTCACCCTTCAGTTTCATTTCTGATACGGATACGGATTTCATTAACATCAGCTTCCCAGTTCCTAAAACTTTTCCCTTGATGTATACCCAAGTTTGTTTGAAATGTGTTGGCTAGAAATACGAACGCGCTAAGATTCATACGCTTTTACTATATTTAAAAACAACTGCAATGGAAAACCTCGACGTTTTCTGGTTCATAACTTTGCAATATCCGAAGTAATCGGTTCAGATATCTAAGTACGTGAGTGTAAGGTTTGCCAGCTATGAACAAATTTCATAATTTCTTCAGTGTTCACTTAAATGGCCCCTGTGGAGGCCAGGGGAACTTGTGTTTGCCTCCATGCGCATGTTTCAAAGTCAGGGATTTGTAACTATACTTGATCTACAAGCTAATGTCAGATGGTAAGATGGGACGATATGAAGCTACGATTGTAGAGTTGGCTAATAGATAGTGCGAGCATGACGCGACCGGTCTTAGTAAGAACAAAATTCTCTGAAATTGGGGAACGTTTCACAGAAACTGTGTCAGTGTGTTATTTTCTGAACCGGCGCTTGAATTATGTTTTCACAAAAGAGTGTATTGGATAAAACGGAGAAGCATACGTTTTCGCGGAGTATGGACAAAGGGAGACTACTCGGACGGTCTTTTTGTTTGGTTGGTTCACGACTTGTTTGTGACAAAACGAAATCAGTATGAAAAATGGAAGTATTAACAATGGCGCATTTACGTCATCCGACAATAATGGTGTCTACATAATATGTCATTATTCACAATATATCCCATTTTGTCCTTAGTGTTTAAAGGACACATTTATTTTAATGTACACATTAGCCTAGTAACTCGACAGTTAACGAGTTGATGTATATTTTTCAGTTTTCCATCAAATAGATATTTTAGTGTTTTTTGATACATGTACTTTAATTTTGCATGGTAAATTTTCAGCCATTAGGTAACTGTGAAACTGTGCTAGACATTATGTCTTCTGAATGACAAACAAACGGAATTTTAAGTAATGTCGGAATGCATTCAAGCCAGCTTGCCGACTGTCTGTATATTTAGGTTCAGGAGAAAGGGGATGGCCCGGTTCCTCAAAGCGATCTTAGCGTTAACCTTGTCACAAGTCAGTGTTAAGGTATGAGACTTGTGATTTTCTAATACCTGCTTTACATGCACACATTTACACACAGGAGTATATTTGCTTATGTAAGTAAATTTATTTATAGTAAGTAAATTGACAACGTAAACGTCACAAAACGAATTCACTTACATAAGTATTTATACCCCTGGACCTGGATTTTCGAAGCTCTCCTAGTGTTAAGATGATCGCAAATGCCATACTTATTAGCTCTAAGAGAACTTGGAAAATTTAGGCCCTGGAGTAAAATTACACCTGCTCCAGAGGTGAGTGAGTGAGTTTAGTCTTATGCTGCACTCAGCAATATTCCAGTTATATGGCGGCGGTCTGTAACACTCGAGTCTGGACCAGACAATCCAGGGACCAACAGCATGAACATCGATCTACGCAACTGAGATGATGACATGTGTCCACCCAATCAGCGAGCCTGACCACCGATCCAGTTAGTCACCTCTTACGACAAGCATGGGTTACTGAAGAACAATTCTAACCCAGATCTTCACGGGTCGCTCCAGAGGTAAAGTAAAAGTATATTTACTCCTGGAGTAAAATACAAATTGATCTTGTAAGTGACACTTTAGTGTTAAGGTCGCTTTGTGAACGTGGACCTGGATTGTTAGTGTTCAGGTTAAGGCCCCGTATTTAGTTACCGTGGAACAAGTAAATGGTGTAACTGTAGTGAAACTATTACATCTGTTGTATAGTGATAACCTCGTCTATATAAGACATACGTCTCCTTGCCTATTCTGCATACCGCCCATATCTTCTTAGGTGTTGGGTGGTGCAATATTGGCGCAAACCATAGTTATGCGGTACCCGCTGTTGTTGCCATAGCTACCTTATCTATCCAGTATCATGTTACCATAGCAACGTGTCATGGTCTGCGTAACAATCTGCGTTTCTATAGGAACCGCCTCTAGTTTGTGGAGTTTGTGGTGTCTTGTATAACCATGTACGTCATTAGATTATCAATAAATCTCACCTATCACGTTTTCTGATTCATCGTTGTACTGTCTTCGACATATTTATTAATATATATCAAATTAAGAAATAGCCAATCAAACTTTGCCCTTTTATGAATCCGCTGAACAAGAGCAGTGAAGGAGGCGGTAAGTGAATGTGGATATATGCCAGGGCCAAATCTATACGTCAAAAGTCCGTTACGAACAGCAAGAGGCTAAAAATACGCGTCTAGTCACGGGGATTGAGTGAGTGAATTACGACATACAGCCTGGGCCAAATCTACACGTTGAGAGTGAGTGAGTTTAGTTTTATTCAGCAATCAGCAATATGGAAATATACAGCGGTCTGTAAATAATCGAGTCTGGAACATTCAACCCAGTGATCAACAGCATGAGCATCGAAATTGCACACTGGGAATGCAGACTTATCCGTCTTTGGCACCAACTCGTCACATGGAGACGTGTGGTGGCGCTGAAGTCAATACCTCGTGTGACCACCGTGGGCATCCAGAACTGCACGGTATCGCCTCGGCATCGAACGAATAAGTGCCTGTGCGAGTTGCTGAAGTGTCTGGGGTTGAGGGTTACGGCATCGCACCCGTCTGTCCAGGGCATCCCACAGCTGTTCGATCGGGTTTAATTTCCGGTGATCTTGAGGGCCAGGGGAGCACATTGATGTTGTGGTTCTGGAGGAAGTCTCTAGTGTGACGTGCTGTGTGGGGCCTGGCATTGTCCTGTTGAAACAATTCCCTCTGGCGATCAATGATTGGAAGGAGGTGTGGGAGTAGGATTTGGTCACAGTATCGTTGAGCTGTCAGGTTGCCCTGGATCATCACCAAATCACTTCTCCTACGGCAGGTGATCTCCCCCAACATTATAACACTACCGGCCGAATCTGTCCACCTGGGGAACGCAGGCGTCGGCGAAACGTTCACATCGACGTCTGTACACCCGCATTCTTCAATCGCGTCGTTCCAATAGATATCGTGATTCATCACTGAACCAGATTCTACGCCAATTCGGTAGGTTCCAGGCCTGAACGTTGGTGCACCATTGAACTCGATGTCGACGATGTTGTTGTCGAAGCACAGGGCCAAAATAAGGTCTTCTGGCACGTAAACCAGCCTCTCTCAACCTGTTCCTGACGGTCTGTTCAGAAAGCCTCCTCAATCCGAGTTTTTGTCGAGCGGTACTGGTCGCAGTAGCTGTTCGATGACGCAGGTGATGTACCCGGATGTAGCGATCCTGCGCCGCAGTGGTCGCTCGAGGTCGCCCACTACGAGGGGCATCTGCTACCGCATTCTGCCGGCGATATCTCTCCCAGAGCCGTGAAATGGTGCTTTGGTGAACATTCATGCGTCGGGCAACTGCACGTTGAGACTGGCCAGCTTCAAGCAAACCAATAGCGATATGACGGTTGACTTCACTTAGACGTGGCATTTTGCGTTCGTCAACAATATTCCAAATACAGTGAATAATCGACAGACAGCGATCAACCTTTTATACCCGTCATTGAGACTATCTGATCCCCAACTTTCACCTGCAATGCATGTGAATTGTGTATTCTGTGACACTACACGCCGAAGTTGAAAATCATGCTGTTAACTACGGGTATTTCACGGATGGTGCGTTTTGTTGTGATGTTTCAAAATATAAACACCATAGGACTCATAAACAGAGCAAAACCTTTTGTAAAATGAATCACGTGTTAATTCATTGCTACATGAAATTGCTATTTTCATGATGCGTTTTTTTTTTGGGAGAGTATATATATTAAATACAGACTTGGCTTGTCAAAACTAATGATTAATTATGGACGGAATATATCACTTGGAAGAATACAAAGAATTTGTCCATTATGTAACTCTGCTATAGAAGACGAAATACATTTTACCTTTGAATGTCCTCATTATGCAGAAATACGCACTAAATATATACCAGAACGTTTCTCATCTAAGTTGAGTAGAATAGGGTTTGTTTCCTTTTTGTCATCGAATGATGCCGATGTAATATTTAAATTATCTCTATTTGTAAAACATGGAACGGACCTAAGAAATGGGATTTCAGATTTACCTTACTCTAAAAAGTCCTCCTGATGACCACCAATTGTTAAATGAATGTTATATTTTTATCATTTCCACTGTATCTACCAATCGGTATATTCTCAACCAGTGTGATTATGTAAACTTGTATATGGGCTGATGGCCTTTGATACAATAAAACACCTTTGACTTTGACTTTGACTTCCCGATCCCGTTAGTCGCCTCCTACGACAACCATGGTTTACTGAAGACCAATTTCACGGGACACGTTGAGAGTCTGATACGAACACAAAGATGATAAAATTGTCATTCGGTCACGCGATTTGAGTAAGTGAACTTGTATATATATACCCTGCACCAAATGTACACGTTGTGAGTCTGAAACGACCAGCAAGATTCTAAACATAGACAGTCCCTATACGGTTGTGAGCTTTGATCTTGCCTGAGTAAGGGTGAGATCCTAGCAATCAAGCGTGCACAGAGATTCGCGATGAAGCTGGCACAAGGACTTCCCAGATGCACAAGGACTGACATTTGCAACGCTCTCCTTGGTGTCCTTCCTGTAGGAGCATATATCGACAAACAAAAACTTCTTTTCTGTGGGAGACTTTGTCATACAAAAAGGCGGAATATATCATCTCAGTTATTTCTCACTCGATTGTATTCCCTCAGATATAACTGTAGCAGTACATCACTGGACTTCATACCTGATATTCGTCGACTTCTACATAGATATGAGTTGCAAGAAGATTACCATTCCTTTTTAGCAACAGGAGTATTCATGACGTACATGTCCTGGAAGAAGAAGGTTAAAGGTCACATGCAACCAAAAAATCAAACATAATTAAAACACAATTATCACTTATTCATGACATATAATATACATTGTTGGTTATGAAAAAACATATAAACAAAATTATAAGCGTACAATCGCAAATCAAAAGTGCAATATTGTGTACTTGGGTTTACTTCCCAAGAAACGAAGCAGCCGGGATACCGAACCCAGTCAGAGCGGGTGGGTGTGCACTCAAGTGTAACGGCTGGTTCATTTGCAGATGCCCTCACGGCTATTGTGTGTGTATATATAGAGATGTTGGGTTTTGTAAATACATGCTCATTTTTTGTGTATAACATTTTGCAATCAACAGACAACATAACATGTCATGTGTTCAAGTATCACACCTACCTGTCTGTGTAATTACATAATGTGACAGAGACCGAACTCGGGCCATAAATCAATGCATTTTGTTTATGGTGTATAGCCTGATTGGTGTTAAGTTCAAATTGCATGTGGTCAGTGATAGCAGCTGTGTATTGAATATTGTCATTAGCAGACAGACAGGCAGGCAGACACACAGGTGTCAATAAAACAAGACATTGAGTTTTGTCTGTGACAACGACATATCTATATCACAGTTAGAAATTCTGTCAACGCTAAATAATGACATTGCTTTTAAGTATCGAACTGAGAAAGTGACTCGGTAAGAAGAACGTGTGGTGAAATAGACAAATGAAATTATATAAACAGTTTATTTACTGTCATAACATATAAAAAGCTTGCGCCTGTGAGATATCAACAAAACATTAGGAAAATAGCTCACACCAAAGCCTTCACCGAGTATTCACCAGACAACCCGCTTCCAAGCTGCGCGAACCTATTTCACTGCGCACGTGCTATGAGCGCAGCCCAGCTGTTGAAACCAGTTTTCCCCCGAAAAGTCGGGGGAAAATTAGTGAAACGTTTGAACTCCGATTTCGCGCGGTTTTTTCATCGCGTCATTTTTCAACTTTATAAGTTGAATTTGCATTTTTGACGATTTGTTTCGGTAAGTCCATACCGAAAGGTATCAGAATCTGCAAAGTTGTGTTTTACGTTGCATGTGACCTTAAAGCCACTATTAAGCAGCACGAAGAGAGGCAGTGAGTGACCAGAATGGATGAAGATCCCGACCTGAAGCACTTCAAACTGATTCACCCCCATATCCAACCTCACATGGCCTGGTTGGTAGACAAGAGTTATCCTTCCTTGAAACCCTTGTGCAGTGTGGTTGTCCAGCTGTGTGCGTGTTGGAGACCTGGCAAAGTCAAGGGACAATGTAAACTGTGCCATGAGGACTACTGTGATCTTCTGGTGCACACTGTGTGTTCCTGCTCTGGAACATCTGACATTAGAGAGAGTCTATGGTGCGACATCATCAACTGCAGTCCAATTGAGGTCAGTGTCTGCCTTCACAACCAGAGTGACATTGGACTGATATCCATGCTGCTATCCTGTAGACCTCCGTTACAGCTGAGTGATGACGAGACATTGCAATATGCCAAAACCATCATAACTCACATTGCGTCCTTCAACAAACGTGTGGAACTCTGATGGAACTGTGTGACTGTCAAACTGATATTTCTTTTAGAAAATATGAATAAAATAATAATACAAAAAAATGACAATAATAATGATAACCAACAAAAAAAATGTATGTATGTATAATGTAATTTAATGTATATTGTGATGGCCATCACGAAGATTTAGATAATACTCCTGCATTTTAATTGCAAAATTCATAAGTTATATAAGCTTGTAAATGATTAGGCATCATGACATATCTGTTAGGTATTTCCCATCTGTATTTTTGATAGTTTATGGCAGTGCAGAAATTGTTATTATAATTATCGTGTAATTAGTTTTGCAGCTATATACGAGTATTATTGGCAACCTCGTTTTCACGTAATTCAGTGTTTTGACATCTGTTTTGGTAAGAAATCTAGCAAAAGATCGTAGCATGTTGTTTTGAGCATTATAACATGTATTGCATTCGTAAAACATCATAAGCTAGTGCCATCACATTACGCTATTTGTTTAGAACACAGTTGTACTTTGTAAGAGTCAATGTCAACAACGTCTCCTGTCAGAACGATCTTGTTTACCTTTTCAAGAGTTTTTGAATATTGACCGTAACTTTGACATTTCCTCGCTCTAAGCGTCCAGTTACCAAAACTAACTATCCGATATGGATTAATCTTACCTTGTCCTTCGACAAACTGATCATAACCCCTTGACACTCGTTAATTATCCATTGTTTGGTGAATTTGTGATTAGGGCCGAGCTACATGTTTTGGTGACGCCCGCCATTTTAACTTTGTGACAGCCAGTCTATTTCGCAACGGGGTTACCGCTACTTTTGACTCAGATTAGTGTTTTGCATTGTAAAGTTTATGTAATCTTGTGAATTACGTAGAGGAACCCAGAATTGTACTTGATGATGTATCAGGTCATGTTTCAAAGCCGATGTTAATTCTGACAACGGGAACTATGTGATTCTCACTGTTGTATTCATACGCGATGTTCAGCATCATTATTTCCACTTCCAGTGCCACTGTCAAATTGTATAAGGGGCTGAGTCATGTTTTTAAACATCTTATGTGTCAGATAAACTCCAATTGCCTCCTGACATCTGTAATCTTCCTCTTTGAATTGTCCATCGTAATTCCCAGCCGATGCTGCTTGTTGATATTACGTCCCCTCAGCAGGCAGCAAGGACGTAGCAAGACGTAGAGAGACGCAATTGTTGATCTTATGATATTGGAAGGCATTTAATGAATTAAATACACATAATTAATTGGTTGGTAAAAATAGTCATTTTCCTACCTGATTACCTCCTGAGATAATTCGCCTTCCTCTTTATTTCAGTGGTTTCATGTTGTGAAAGTAGATCCCTCAAAAGAATAAGGACGTAACGGGACGTAATATCTCGTAATTTGATTGGTCCAGAACTGACATCTGACCATTTTCTCACACCTATAAATACGGTGAGACCCATGTTGGGTCATTCTGACTTCTGCAGTCTACAGGTCAGTTTCAAACCAAGGGCAGATAATTCAACCCAAAAGTTCCCCTTGTCCTTACATAATTATAATAGCTGATGCTATAGATAGACTGCACTTTTCGAACACAGACAAAAATTAATATCTTAGTAACTATCAGGTTATTCAGATTACCCAGATAATTAAGCCATCACTATATCTATATAACAGTAAAGTCAAAGGTCATACTTATATTGCCCTAACACTGGTCCATGCACATAAACCTTAAGCTTGAGAGGGATCTACTTATTAGAAAGAGCATTGTGCTGAAGTACATTTATACCCATGAATAAAAAGCTATTTATTCATTGAAAAGAAGTGTTTGACTCTTCCTGAAAACAAGACTGACAAGGTTTATTAGAAGTTTGAGTCCCGGCCGCCACAATATGCATCTCATTGTACTCTCCTTTGGAGGAATAAAAGCTGATATAACACACTGGTCAATCAGGAGTGTTCAATGTGAACTATCGGGAAAAAGAAAGACTTAACTTGACTCAAAAATAGGAAAAAGACGTATGTGAGATTTATGATAATTATTCTACAAAAAGAAATCAATTTCCAATAACTTGACTGAAAATCCATTGTAATCTTGGTCTTGCATTTGCCGCAATTCATTAAGAAAGAGTCAAGGGGTCAAAATTTAAAAACATTACACATGTCAGAGCTCATTCCAAAACTGCATAAAGAGTCACATTATGAGACAGGAGTCGGGGGACACGTCATTAATAGCGAGTGTGACCACCCTGGTCATCTATATACACGACAACACACGTCTTCTCGTTGACGACTCAGTCGGTGGATGACGTCAGCAGGAATCCTGTTCTATAAGTCCATGAGCGTCTGGGCCTGTATTCACAAAGCGATCCTAGAGTTAGGATGTCCTAACTTGGCTCTGCCTATGTATTTGAATTGAAGCTATGATTAAGTTAGGACATCCAAGCACTAGGATTGCTTTGTGAATAGCTAGCCTGTTCAACTTCCTGACGGTTCGCTGGAGGCGGTACACGCTGTCTCAGCTGACGATCCAGACGATCCCCGAGATGTTTTATGGGGTTCATGTCTGGAGAACGCGCTGGCCAAGGCAATACGTTGACGTTAACGTTGTGAAGGTACTGTCGAACAATTCAGGTGGTGGAGACCTTGTGTTGTGCTACAAAATGACTCCTCTTGGCTGTCGTCGGATAAAGGGCACCACAAAAGGTCTCAACACTTCATCGCTGTATCGCTGGACATTCTGATTTCCTCGGATGACAATCAGTCCTGTTGCTCTCTGGCCACAAATGACGCCGTAGAACATGACGTCTCTCCATCGGATGGATGACCTTCTTGGCTGCAGTTTGTGGCCAGCGTTGACGGTGTAGACGGGTCAAGGCCATTCCATGGAAGGGGTTGTAGGCTCGCATACCACCCATATCAAGTCGTGGAAGTACTGTAGGCTTGTATACCACCCATATCAAGTCGTGGAAGTACTGTTCGTCTGCTGATGGTGTGTCCTAGTGCTGTTGCCACAGTTGACATCGCCGTCACGAATCTGTTCCAGAGGTGGATTTACCTGATGTAGCGGTCTTCGGCCAGTGTCGTGACTTTTGGTCTTCCCAATCTTGGGCGGTCTTGGGTCAGGCCTGTTTGCCGGTAACGGTTTATCAATTTGCTGATGGCTGCAATTGAAGGTTCTTACCAGCTGACGTTGTGAAACCCCCACATTGGCCATACTTATCGCCGCAACATGTTGCGTTTTGGCGAATGTTTCCTGCTTGGATTCAAAACCGTACCTGCTTTTTTGTTTTTATACAATTACTTTAAAAGTGATAACTTTTTTTTTGCCCAATAGTTTATTGTTTCTCTAGGGTACAGAAATAACTGGTGCAACTAAATGTTTGCACGTGGAGAGGTAGGTGTTAACCGTGACGGACAAATGTGTTTTTACCCCTGTGGCGCGCTTGCTTGCAAATGTACTCAAACTAATCAACAAATCGAGGCAAATCCCATTTCACAACTGCTTACCAGGGGGTCACTTCTCGTCACCCCTCTTCAAGATGACTGTAGAAAATGGAGACATTTTAACTGTTGCCATATGTCAGTGAAACAGATCCTTAGTTTCCTCAGAAGACAGAGAGGATCCTCATGCGGGTGTTTGCCCTTGACATCACTGCAATGTGAATCAGCAGTTGAAATGTGAAGCATGAAGCACAAGTGAATCATTCATTGCGAGATGCATCCATGCGTGAATCCTATGGTCCAAGGTGTCACTCCTTCCAATGTGTACATATCTTAAAAGTGTTACAATACGTAATGTCATCTTAAAGTAAGAATACGACTCTAGCGTAAAGTACAATTGTATATTTACTTGTACGATAATCATGGGTGGGTTTACCCGAAATCAACACCCCTTCAAGCACGGGTGTAGGGCCGTGTGCAATGTCACAGTATATAACCCGACGCGAGCATCTACCAATGTATGTGTTGGCGACTTCGAGCGGCGTGTGAAACCATACCAATACGTTAGCGTCACTATGGAAAAACGTGAAGTTCAAACCGTGATCAATACAGGTGCTGATGACAATGACAAGTGTTCCTGTTCGGGACGTATCAGAAGTTTGTTCAGTACGGAAGATATCAATAGATGTAAATTCTTCCAAGAACTGGCAGCAGAGTTCCTCGGGTCGGCGCTGTTGGTCATCTTCGGTTGCGGATCCGCGGTGACGCTTGAACCAAACTTGGCACCAACGGTACCGTCAATAGCCATCGCCTTCGGGCTGACAGTTGCCACGATCATCTGGTCACTTGGTCACGTGAGTGGAGCCCAGATCAACCCATGTGTAACCCTGACACTATGCTTGACCAGGAAGATGACCTTGATTAAGTGCGCATTGTACTGTGTTATACAGTGTGTCGGTGCTATAGCGGGTGCCTACATCCTCTACGGACTGACCCCCGAAGACCGGCGAGGAATGCTGGGCATCACCCTGGTGTCTCCCAGGATCAGCCTGTGGCAAGGGGTCGGGGTGGAGATCCTGGCCACCTTCATGTTAGTTCTTGCCATCTATGCCACAATAGACTCCCGTATAACTGACCACCCCGGCTCTAAGGCGCTCAGTATCGGCTTTGTTGTGACTATGGATATTCCCTGGGCGGTGAGTATGTCGCTTGTATTCATATTCGTTAAAAATGTGAAGTCATACCATTTGCTATGGTAAGTACATGTGGGTTACATACATACATACATACAAATATTTGTAAAGCGCTTTTTATCAATCTAATTGCTCAAAAGCGCTATCTGAGTCCACTTTATCCATGTGCAGAGGTGAATAGGTGCGTCTTGAGTCCACTTTTAAAATTTGACAGTTCTGTTTCGGAACGAAGGATGGATGGTAAATTGTTCCAGAGGAAGGGTCCTGCTCTAGAGAAAGACCTGTCCCCATATGACTTAGTTCTAGTTTGTGGTATTTCAAGGAGAGACTGGTCCCTTGAGCGGAGTGATCTAGTTGGGTGATATGGTGTAAGGAGATCCGAGAGGTATTTTGGAGCTAGACCGTTTAGACACTTGAAAACAAGGAGCAGGATTTTGTAGTCGATTCTGAAGCGAATTGGAAGCCAATGTAGGGTTTTGAGGGCAGGAGAGATGTGTTCAGTCCTTTTTAATTTGACAGGTGTCTACTGCGTTATGGTCTGTGATTCACATTGCAGAGGCGGTGTTTCACGTTTCTCCATCACAGAATATTATTACATGCTATATGCAAACGCATTCATTACACAGATGGAAAAAATGTTTACACAGATCATCCTAGACCGATTTCCTTGGTTAAAATTAATGAACGAGGGCTTATCAAGCTTACCGTGCTTCACATTTTGCTTCACATTGCAACAGCACAAAGGAGGTCACGCTGAACTCAGCCCTGAACAGGCTGGGTAATGCTGGGTAATTTCATCCGACTGCGATCATTATTCTCAAGATATTACTTGCGTCAGAATAGGTGAACATATCAAAGGAAGCTGAACAATTAAGAACACATGCGGTGAACAAATTACAGAGAGTGAACGAGTAATTGTATATACACACAGTATCCGTAGTCAGGCCCCAACTGAGACATAAGACGATCATCATTGTGTCATGTTTGTATTGGTATACCCGGGTCATGGTGAATACCTCCCGCTTCACTACACGTTCAGGTCACATTTCCTTGCGCTCATTTTCTTACCACGAACGTGTGCATGCTACTGAGTCGTCAGAGGTTAGCAACTAGAAGCCCCATGAACATGATGAAGGGATATTCCCTCTGTTGTTCACGTAGGGTCGACAAAGTTGGCAAACTGCCCAGGGACTAGATTTTCGAAACTCTCTTAGCGCTAAGATAGTCGTAAGTTAATGCTAATGTATGGCACTTACGACTATCTTAGCGCTAAGAGAGCTTCGAAAATATAGGCACAGTCTTACTTATCGGTTAGTAATGAGACTTAATCCCGCGTGCTTGGTATTTTCCAGGCAGAGGGAATTGTCTCAGTCACCTTTCCCCGCCCAACTAAAAGCATGTCGATGGTTCACACAGATCAGTATCAAATATTTATTTTAAAAGGGTTTTTTTTCTTCTATTTTGAGTGTGTGTTTTTGTTGTTGTTGGTTTTTTTTGGGGGGGGGTATTTATTAATTATTTTTGCTCGTTTGTTTGGGTGTTATGTTTTGGGCGTTCTCTTGCATATGTTTATTTTTGTTATGTTTTTTTTTTAAATACCTTTCTGCAGAACATGCCTTAGTTACCAAAATACATAACAATGGGTTAAGACATATAAGGCGTTTCTTATAACACTATCAGTGAGAGACCATAATTTCAGATGGTATAGACAACGTGTGTAACTTGCTAAAAAGCACCAATGGTATGCAATGTTTCAGCTCTTAACTTGGCACCTGTCTACTGGATACCTGTATATAGCTCCCTGTCCACGGTTACGTCTTGGAGTGGCTGGTCTTCACTGTCTATGTATCAACTCTCAGACAGTGACATGCTGTGTTTTCTGTTGTAGATTCAATACACTGGGGCGAGCATGAACCCTGCACGGAGTCTGGGGCCCGTGGTGGTCATGGGAGTTTGGGATCATCATTGGGTAAGTGGGTCATGCGAGTTTAGTTGTCGACATTAGGAGGTTTAAGTCTACATGCAGCAACAATGACTTATCCCAATATAGCCGATACAACCGTATTAACCTCAAACACGTGATGTTATTTATGAAAGCTTTTATACAAATCCTTTGAAGTTTGGAGAATCCAAACCACAAGTCTGTGAATATCTAAAAGATCTACTTGATTGTGTTCGGTAATAAGGTTTATCCTTGAGACAGGGATATGGTGCTCCATTTCTGGACCAAGGGTGTAACCCTCTTTGTACGGATTTATTTACCTTGAGCTTTGGAATCCTGTACAAAAAGATAATGTACATGACTTCAATTTCAGCAAAAGGTTCATAGTACTGATTTCCTTTGCCTCGTGTGTTCCATGTTTTGATAAATTAAATTCTGACCTCTTTGATCAAACAATTAATGAAGTGATGTTTGCATATTGTTATGTTTTGCGAGACGTTGTCATTTGGAAGAATTACACATTCTTGTTTTAAACATATTTTATTCATTCAAGAAAAGGATTGGGCACAAGTTATCCAACTTAGAAAAGCCCTCTCCAGATAATTACACAATTCATCTTACAACAAAGTACACAAGTGACAGACATAGGCTAGGATATGTACAACAGATGTCAAGGAAGTAATGAAAACATTCTCACATCTATGGCCACATTGACATGATGCGTCATTTTTTACATTTATTCTATATAAATCATAATTAAGTGTACTCGTCATATATCTTAATCTAGTGTGCATAACATTGAACTTCCTTATTCCATATGAATAATATATAGGTGCACATTTTTCCTTCACGTGGATATAAGATTTAAACGTGGCAACAGAGTCGCAATTTCTAATAGCTAAGGGAATATTATTCCACACTTTAACTGTTGATGGAATAAAAGATGACGTTGAGTACCTCAGTCTTGTATATGGTTGACTAAAGTTATTTGAGTTTCTTAACTCATAACTTGTCTGGTTGCTAACTACAGGTGGGAGTAAATCTTGAAGAAAAACTGGTGTCAGGCATTTTTTAATTTTATAAAATAATGTTAATTTGCGTCTTCCTTCTCTCAGAAAGTAAATCCCATCCCGTTTCGTAATACAATGAACTGGAAGATGCATATCTTGGAAGACCGCTCCAATCATTTTAGATGTCTTTTGATAATGTTTTCAATATGATGATGCCAGCTCCCGTTAGACGTGAAGATTAAACCCAGATGTTTATGAAAATCGACTGTTTTTATATTGCAGTTATCAAACTTCAAATTAATGTCTTTTTTGCCACCTTTCAAAGTAAATAATATAGCTTCAGTTTTTCCGGATTGTAGGAAATTAACCAGACCTTTGCCCAATCGTTTAATATTTCTAGATTTTCATTCATGGCTCTTTCCATCACTTGTTTGTCCTTTGATAAAGTTCCCAGTGAAGTATCGTCAGCGAAAAGCCGACATTCTTCATGCAGGGCAGGCAGACTTTGGGTGTATGCTGACAGAGACAGAATGGGTTTATTCAAATTCTGTTTCCTCTTTTTCAGTTTGTGAATTCTACCAAAGATAAGTTCTTTGAGAGGCATTTGAGAAGTTGTAAAGATTAAGGAAAACCAAGTTCTATGGATAGTCAACTTCTTTATTGCATTGGGTGCGACGTTTCGGCGTAGGTACTAACACCGTTATCAAGCAAGTGCTCGATAATGGTGTTAGTACCTACGCCGAAACGTCGCACTCAATGCAATACAGAAGTTGACTATCCATAGAACTTGGTTTTCCGTCTACCAATGATGTTATCACAGATAGTCAAGAGGCTCAGAGTGTTTTAGGATAATCTTCCACAGAACCCATAATGCTCTGAAACTTGGGTGGTATTTCAATAACTGATGATGGTTCCTATTGTCAACGACAGAGACATTTTGACCACTATGTTGGCGGCAGCAAGATGAACTTGGATTGTCACTGAAGTAGAGGTTTTTGCAAAATGCTTCAATAACATCGTCCTACATAACGATCTGACCTTGACCTTGCAGGTTTTCTGGTTGGGTCCTATCCTTGGCGCTCTCGCAGCTGGCTTCCTGTACGAGACGGTGTTTGCCGTCAACGCCTCCGTCCGGAAAACCAGGACATGGGTGTGTGGCGACATCTTCGACGAAGACCGAATGGGTGCATACGAACTGAGAACCATCACTGTTGACAACAAATACGATGTCGAGTCAAAGCCTTAAGACTCCTAAAACATGAGAAAAAATAGCATTTTCGTGTACTGTATGTATGTAAACATCCTAGCTCTTCCTGTACATCGTTTCTGAGACATCGAAGGACATATGTATTCAAGTATTCTTGAAAATAATCAGACCTAAATGAATATCTTTTACATGTGTGTAATAATTCGATATTTTCAATATTCAGTTTCATCAATAAATTTGAGAAAAATATGTGAAGTTGACTTCTTTATATCTTTTATACCCCCGTGACCAGCGCGCACCTTGATTTAACAATTACCCCGTCTTCCCTGTTCGTAAATTGCCCTACAGATTTCGGTGGACTGGCGGATTTGAGAAACGTGTATTGTCATCTCGGCATCGACAGATATTTTCCAAATTTCTGAAGTAAGTTGATCCACTTCGCGAGGAAAGACCGGATTCATTACGATTTCGATCTTTATTATTGATCAGATGGTATTGAAAAGGCGGGCGAATACATGGTAGTTACATGATAGAAGCCAATAGTACGGACATAGAAGGGACATAACTCGTTATAGCATAGGGGCGTGTCTCGCTTAGAAACAGCGCCAGAAAGACATATAGGTGTATAGACCCAACCCTATTACTATATAACGGGATCCTTTTATATAGTAATAGGGTTGGGTCTATACACCTATATGTCTTTCTAACGTTGTTTCTAAGCGAGACGAGCCCCTATGGTTACTGAAATTCCAGCCCAACTCGGCAAAGGTGGAACTTGAATGCTATAGTCAGTTACCTCCCTTGCTTGGGGAAGCCGCGGCTATCCCTCGTTGATGTCAGAAGAAATTATTGTTGTTGGATGATATACGTTACTTTATGGAGGCAATTTGTAAAGTAATAAACAAAGCACAGTTTGACAGTTTGCTAAACTGCAAACATATTGTTGCTAGACACGACAGTGAGTTCGATAATACGGTCATAAGCTATAACCAGGGACCATATAATACTAGAAATAGTGTATATAGTGTCTGCTGTAACATATTTAGTAAGACATTAATTTGTAACCTCCATCAGTTTCCCGTTCTACGTGATTCTGACGCTTTAACATTCAAGCGGACACATTTCTGGTGTGTGTTTTTGTCATTCCTGTAATATGGAAACTGCAAAAATTATGTGAAAATTAAAAATGATACAATGATTCTCCTGCATGAGCTCTTCCACGCATAACTTGTTTAAGCCGGTGTCTGCCAGTTTGTCTGGCAGCTGGTCACGTTGACCGTATTGGAGAAAATTCAAGCGAATCTATATAATTTTGTGTATTCCTCTCATACTAGACACAAGATGTGTATGTTGATAATTATATATAACTGCCTTTTGCCAAACTCGGCTGTGAGTATGGAACTCTGGAATGGCTCCTGTCCAAAGTAACTGACCTGCCGTCAATCTTATTACAAAACAAAACTTTATGCTGGGAATAACAATAAATGGACCGGTGAAGATCTGGGTTAGAACTGGTTTTCTGCAACACATGCTTGTCGCAGGAAGCGACTAACGGGATCGGTTGGTCAGGCTCGCTTAATTGGTTGGAGTATAATGTAGCTATATTCCCGCAATATTACGATGGGATACTTCAGAAACGAGCTTCACACATTGTACTCATCATCAGCTCAGGGCCCTCGCCCCCTCTACACACAGCCCAGACAGCGAATGGGAATTCTCCCAGGAAACGCTGTCTAGTCGAACCCACCAAGAACTTTCCGGAGAATATGTAGACTCCCCAACACTGCAGCCTTCTGCATTACCCAGAGTGTCAGAAGGGCTGTGCTCCCCGGTGGAGAACCCAGGCACTTTCCTGATCTGCGCCAAGAGATCAGGAGGTACCAAACCAAGGGCACCGAGAACAATGGGGAGTCTGACGACAGTGTAACTGGGATGCAAGCGAGACATTTCAAAGGCGAGGTCCGCATATTTAGCATTCTTTCCCTGAATCTTGCCAATCACGTTGCTGTCAAAAGGGACAGAAAGAATTCAATGATATAAATAAATTCATTGGCTTTATCAAAAAGGACAAGATCAGGTTTGTTGGCTGCAATTCTTCTAAGGCTGTATATGTGGCTATTCCACAGAAGTTTGAAAGCATCATTTTCCATGACGCCCTGGACATGTTCAGGGTCGTACCATGGATTGACCTCAGAGTCAAAGCCACATGCATTGCGGAGACGGTACTAAAAGCAGCGAGCCATGCCATCAGGTCGTTTAAGATATGCGTTTGTGCCAAGGAAGGGCATCCACTGACAAGGTGTTGGACAGTCTCTGTAAATTCATTGCACAATCGAAATTTCATGAAAATATTATCTTTTAGAATCACATTTTGGCGATTGCGAGTCGGAAGTGTCCAACAACCTAGGTACGCTTAAAATAGCTGTGGAATTCCTTGCTCTCATCGTGAGTCTTGACATGCATCACCAGTGGATCATCCGATAAATAAATATGTGCAAATGTACACAATAAAATTCTATCATGAAGAGCATGCATATTAATCAAACCCCGACCTCCAGAATTGACTGGCATATATAAACGATTGCGATAGAAACGAGGGTGGTGTGCTCCGTTATCAGACATGATCCTTCTGGTCAGGCGGTCAAGACTCTGGATATCTTGTTTAGTCCAATCAATTACTCCAAAGGAATAGGAGAGGACTGGACCAGCGAAAGTATTGGTAGCTTTCGCTCTGAGCTCCAGATTTTGTTTAAGCGAGATTTATACTCAGCCCGAAGTTTGTCTTGAATCTGGGCATTCTGGAGCTTGTCTCGAACTTACATTCCAAGATAGGAGCTCGGTGTCATCCATGTAAAGAAGATGAGTAAGCGGTGTTGGGGATCTGTGCTGAGGGGGTCCAAGATGGTAACCCTCCTCCTTATTGAGCAGAAAGCTCAAAGGAGTTAAAGACAGACAAATATGCAAAGGACTGAAGAAGTCCCCCTGGAATATTCCCCTTCTGATTGGAATAGATTCCAAAGTCTGCACCTGCCCTTGCGAGTACATCTCAAGTTCAGTCGACCAGTAACTCATTAAAGACTTGAGTAAATCAAGTAGTCGCTCAGGGAGGTCAATACAATGAAGAGACTTCAGAATCCATTTGTGAGGGACATAGTCGTATGCTTTCTTGTAGTCAATCCAGCACATGGAGAGGTTGGTGTGATATGTTTTAGCCTCTTCCAAAATCATTTTTTGTACAAAAAGTTGATCTTTTCATCTCCAACATCCCTTCCTCGCTCCCTTCTGCTCTGTAAATCACCTGTGTCCACGAGAAAATTGAAGCAGTGAAGTAATGGTGTTTGGACACAGGGGAATGGTTTCCAGTACCGGTTTCGAATGCCATCAGGCCCTGGAGCTGTATTAGATTTGGACTTTTTGATAACACTTTTCAGGCAAGTTCGCTTGGTTATAGTGAAGCCAGCCCTTACTATCAGCGATGCACAGACAATCTTCATGGGGTCTCAGGATAACATTGGCCCGACAGGACCAAGAAAGTCAACAAAGTGCAAAGTGTTTCTGGACTCCTCTGAAAACATGCCAAAAGCGACAGGTATCCAAGTTTCGAAGTGTGCACCACTGACGTCAGTTGGCGCTATGATGATATGTAATTAAAAGGGGTGGCACAACACGTGGCCGTCGAGCATGGAGATGAGCTGCAAGTAGACGGTTTCTAATCAGTGTGTCGCACAAAGCGATCTCAGCGCTGAAGTGACCGGAACTCCCATGTTTTAACATAGACTTAAGGTAGTCCTGGCGCTAAGGTTGTTTTGTACAACGGCACCCTGACCCGTAATTCGTTCTCCTGTAGCGTGATCAAAGTTTGCAGCAATTTGATTGGCCATTTAAGTTCGATCTTGTTTCCTGATCCTGCACTCTTGTCGTTGACCTGAGACGGCCTGACCTTGGGCGATCGTCAACGTTTTTGTTAACTGTTCAATAACCCGTCATAGACTGTGAAACACTGAAAGCAATGGTCACTGTACGCTGTTTGGCCAGTGTCCATTATGGCAATAGCCATACACAAACAATTAGTGAGTGAGTCTAGTTTTACGCCGCTTTTAGCAATATTCCATCAATATCACAGCGGAGGACACCAGAAATGGGCCCGTGTGGGGAATATACAACATACATTGTCAAACAATTAAGAAAGTCAAGTAAATCACCACTGTATGAAAAACAGAACCAATAAGACTGACAGAAATATTGGTCCACAAAGATTCATCGACTTTTCTTTGAAAGTGTCAGAAAACCACCCACACACGTGTGTGACGCAACTGCATGGCAAGCTATAGATGTTTTGATACCAGGTTTTAGAAACAATCGTTCGTGAAATACGACCACTGGTCAAAATGCCTTTGTTATTTATGCAAACTTTCATGAATATGCTTCAGCCCAGCAATGACCGTTTATTATTCCATACCGTATTCAATTATGTGTCATGTGCTAAGCTGATTTGGCAAAACAACATGAACCTGGGAGGTGTAATCATCTAAAACGATTGCTGAAAGTGTTAACTGAAAATTACATTACAACTTGCAATGTCCAGGCCAATTCTCCATAGAAGCGGGTATAGGCAAGCCAACCAGGGGTAAAACCAATGAGTGTAGGACAAACATGTACATAACCAAAACTGTTATGAGAAACATCTGACGCAATACATGTCCTTCTTAACTACATTGCTACATCATCACCCGTCCTCATTACACAACATACTCACTGCGTCACGAGAAACATTTGAACGTTTCACATAGCGTTATATATGTAACATAATAGAGATAAGATAATACGGTCACCGGTTATCGCAATGTGAATCACAAGGTGGCTTGGTTGCTGCAACGTGAAACATGCTCTGACCGAGTTTCTGCAATGTGAAACTTACCTTGACCCAATAGGCTATATGAATGGAATGTTGAAAGTAGTTACCAGTCGTGTAGTAATGTCTCGTGTTGCCTGTTGACAATACAACCTGTGTCCCACCTCGACAACCGATAGGCTCTTCATTTGTACCTCACACCATGCTGTCGTGACGTTCGTTATGTGATAGTCACCATTGAGATAAAAAATGTGAAACACGCGACCCTCCTGGGGTGGATTGTGTAATGTAATGCTCTGTTTCGTCCTGGTTTTGCTGATGCCTGCAATGTAACTACTCGTAACTTTAAAGATGCTGTCGGGTGTCCTGGACTGAATATCATCCCAGGAAAGATTTCTCCGTAACGAATTAATTCTATCATTCAGTTAGATTGTATTGGGTCGTTTTTCCGAGAACAACGACCAAAAACACTAACAACTTATTATTAGTTATTTTGATATTATCGTGGTTGTTGTTGTTATTGTTGTTGTTGTTGTTGGTGGTGCTGGTGCTGGTGGTGGTGGTAGTCGTGGTGGTGGTGTTTTAAACACATTTGATTCCCCACTTGGGCACAATGTGTGAAACCCATTCCTGGTGTCCCCCCGCCCTGATATTTCTGGTATATTGCTAAAAGCGGCGTAAAACCATACTCACTCACTGAGCTACATTTGACATCGATCTTGTAGGGATTAGGAAGGCACTGATGACATGCACATAATATGTGGTCAGAGCAGGACACAATGTAACCCTATATCCCAAGCACCGACATTGTACGCAATGTAGATACACCGTGTGACGTCATGAAATGTAAAGCAGTCAGTGAACCACGTGATAAGACATTACAGTAGCACGGGCCGAGTCAGTAAAAACAAAACTAGGCCACGTAGGTGCGGTTCGTCATATGTCACATACTACAGTAACTCTTAACGTGAAACATTCTCACAGCTGACAATGCTTTCAGTTTGTAATGGGGAAGGTCGGTTTTACAGAGAGGTACTTTTGACTTTTCAAAATGATTGTATTCGACATTAATGTGTGTCAAAGCCGTGTCTTTTCGGGAATGTCAAACAAGACCATGTCACAATAAAGTTGTTTCGGGACCACAGCTGACATTACACGCTTTTTGCTTAGTATTTATGTCACCACAGCAATTATGAAATCTGTGACATTTTGTTTTTTCGGGGTTGTTTCGTCATGGCTGTCTCTGTTGTCGCCATGTTAATGACAATGAGTCACCTTGTGGCACTGGCCAGTTTCAGGACCAATCATGTCTGACTCTTGACGTTCCCAGACACAACAGGAAGAAAGAAGAAGAAGAAATATTTTTATTTGTGTGTCACATGTTATATATAAAACATACATAGATACTTTAAAACACTCAATAAAACATAACATCCGGCCATATGGACTATGAGACACAAGACACTACATTATGCCTAAAACAGATAGTAGTGAATAAAATATCACAGCTTTGTAAGCAACAGTGAAGTGTGGTATATTCAATTACATGACTACAAAGTGCGTGTACGTCTATTAAACATTTTAGTAACCAATGCAGCTAATGATTTTATTAATTTAACATTACCTAGCATAAATGCGGCCTGGTCAATAGGCGACAAGAGAGAAATTAAGGCATCGCCGGACAACGGGGTACATGTGTACCGCATTTCCTGCATTCGACGTCATCCCAAGTCTCAATAGACTGCATTTCTCAAACATACGCGGTTTGTAGCTGATGCCAGACAGTACCATCTAAAACATATAAACAACGCCTCTATAAGACGCCGGCTCCATTATTTGAAAGACATTAATGATCCCATCACATGACCTTACAGTATGTTACAGTACTCCCTTCCACTCGATAATTACCCTTTCCTGTAAAATATACGCTATATTTGACTGGAGAATACGATAATTGGTAGACAGATAGCTGCAACTGTGGCAGTATTACATAGAATAAACGTTTGGCCTCTAATAGACGAAGGGCTAATACCAATAAACGCCCGGGCTTCAAATACAGGAAAAGCGGTATCTTGACACACATACCCGACTTCACCTGTGTCGACACACGGGCATGTTTGCCTTTGCTGGACGTCACTGTGTGTGAGATGACCAGTAGCTGTATCACTTGAAGTCAATATATAACTTTGGCAGGGAAACTATGTACTCCGTCAGCTGACAATATCGCAATATTTGTATAGATCTCAGCCGTCCCACTTCTGGAGAATATGACCCAGTGCAAATAGGACCCGCATGAACAGATCATGTAATCACCTGTTATGTGGAGCTGCAGCCTTTAGATAAGTACAGGTACAGGTAATAGAGGGGGTGGACTGAACGCGCTGCGTACAAATCCACTGTGTCACGGAGCACTGATAAGCCTAGATGCTTCTAGACCTCTCCACACGACACCTTCCTCTGATATACCCTGCAATGTGCTTGGTAGTGTCGTGAGAAAAAATGCACCCGGTGTGTATATAAAGAGTAGGTCACGGTGTCTGCCGAAATGCCAACAGGCAAAGGCGTCCTCCAAAGCACCTAACCGAAGAAGAAGATTCACATTACATTGTTAATCTGAATCAGCAAAGGGTGACGATCTTTATATGACTGCATTCAAGGTTGTTCAGCTGGAGAAAAGTGTGCAGCGGTGCAAGTGTGACGTTATACATATTGTACACGTGTGATGTAATTAAGGTCATCCAGGTGGTACCATTGTGACATCATCCAGGTGTGCCGCGTTACTGATGGTACAGGTGTGACATGGAACGGATGGTACAGATGGTACAAGTGTGATGCTAAACAAGCGCTGTACATATGGTACAGATTTTATATGACATGATACATTTGTGTCGCTACAATTGTGACCTGCATGATGATATACTCGGTATGTAGGTTCTACATGTGTGACATGTGACAATAATCCTTCACAGGAGACTCGTGTTTACAGAGATTGTATGTTTACCTTTAATGTGAGCCAGAAAAGACTGAGAACGTACTGTGCAATATCAAGGAGCGTTTAGGCTTTTATACAAATATCGCCGTGAATATTCAACGATGTCGAGAAAGGCATTTGCAATGGACGGGAGTGGGGATGTCGAGAAGACGGGATCAAGATACAGCATGTTGAACCCCCTAAGAAACCTCACCAACATCAGCGACTGCACCTTCCCCCAGTTCCCGAAGGCACTGTTCGCCGAGTTCCTTGGCACCGCCATTTTGGTCATCTTCGGTTGCGGATCAGCGTTAACGGTGGAGGAGAACCTCAAACCCAACGTCGTGTCCATCGCCATCGCCTTCGGGCTCACAGTCGCCACCGTCATCTGGGCGTTAGGTCACGTCAGTGGCGCCCAGATTAACCCTTGCGTCGCCGTGGCGATGTGCTTGACGCGGAAGATGACCTTCGCCAAGGCATTGGCTTATAGTGTGACGCAATGTGGGGGCGCCGTCGTCGGGGGGTATATATTGTACGCCCTAACTCCGGCAGGGAGACGGGGGAACTTAGGGGTAACCCTAGTGCACAGTGAAGTTGGGGTCTGGCAAGCAGTTGGGGTGGAGTTCCTGGCAACGTTTGTCCTCATTCTTGGAATCTTCGCTACATGTGACTCCAGGATAAGTGACCATCCCGGCTCCAAGGCTCTAAGTATCGGATTGGTTGTGACCATGGATATTCCCTGGGCGGTGAGTACACAAGGGGAAACTTTGTAGGTAAACGAAAAGAAATTCTGTCAATGTGTTTTGGTTTTTAGCAAAGAGAGTACTGAACCAGCGGGCAAAGAAAATTTAACCCCATGTTTAATAGTGGGTAAAAACGAAACGGAAAATATGTATTCGTATGTATTTGATACGGGAATCGTGGATGTGTTTAGGACATTAAGATTTTAGTGTTTCAGCGAATGCGCTCAACATTTTGATAATGCTCCTTTTGCAGTTTTGTGTTCTCTAGTATCAAATGTAACCAACATTTTAGGGATTTACATACTTGTTCTACGAGTGTCTCGTTTAATAAGGTTACGTAGTCGTACGTACGTATGAACATCTACGTCGCCATGCCAAGACCTGGATCTTGTTCCACGTAGGGAGCGAAAAGCCTTCGGCTCGTTTCCCGGTCCAAGCAATAAACGTTCCAATCTGACACTGGTTGATAAACCTGAGACTGTTGTGCTTGAGGTGGGTAGGGGCCCTGAATTGATCTTCTGTAACCCATGCTTGTCGTAAGAGGCGACTAACGGGATCGGGTGGTCAGACCCGCTGGCTTGGCTGTTACATATTCGGACTTGATTATTTACAGACCGCTGCAAAGTGTGCTGCGTAAAACAACAACCACACAAACATTAGCGCTACGTATTTCGTACGCCTTGTTCCACGAAGGCTGATTAGCCAATGATTGCCGTAAAACATGCTCATGAAAGGTCATGAGCAAATCTTTTCACGAAGCGATAATAGCGCCATGAATGCTGTCGGAAGTCTTGCGCCTCAAGGGTTACGCAACACTGCTGTATGCCAATGGTCCAATGGTTCTTCTATTGTATACGATTTATGCACCCGGAAAGTTTTCTACCCGTAACCGGGTTAGCGAAACCTAACCCTACTCCAAACCCAACATAATGATTTCAATGCATCCAGACAAAGATTATGATTTTGTGTTTAAACTCGAGGCTTGGGTAACAGGCGGACGCCTTCAGTTATATACCAATGACACTCAGCAATGTGGGTTAAGAAAATATTTGATTCACGACATCAATATTTGTTTTCAAGTCGGAGATGAATACAGTTATTTATAGGTATAAACTTACAATGGTGGGACTCTTATGAATACTAACGCACTGTGTACAAAACCAGACAGGAGCCCGTCTAGACATATATATATTTTTCTCGGCTACGGCCTATACGCATGACATAAAACTAAGGTCGTGTGTTCTAGTTCCGGTTCGCCATGATTACTTTTCTAGGTTTGTGGTCACCATACCGGCGCTCGTAGTTCATTGAAGTGTGAAGAGAACTGCATTACTTCGGGTTTTACCCCCACATTAAGCTGACAGCCCGTTATTTAACAGGAATACTGTTCAAGGCCCGCGTTAAACCTTACTCACTCACACATTGTTATAGCTGTATGGTTTGGCCGTCTGAGGCAGATCGCATTTGAATATCGACTACATAATTGTACACCCTGATTGCAACAGATACGCTTGATTGTTGGAAATATCTTCTGTTAACTGTACACTGTAAATAAAAAGTTGTCAATTTGACAACTAAAAAGTTGTCAAACGGGGGTGCCTAAGATAACAACTTGAGTTGTCAATTTGACAATGGGCAACTTTTTGACAATGCATTCACATGGTTGTATATTCAAATTGTTGTCAAGAGATATTCAATTTGAATATGTTATATCTTCAAGATTGGCAATGGAAAAGATGTCAATTTAAATGCATTTCGATTGTCACAATGACAATGGCAAACAATATAAGTATCATACGGTAAGTATGACTATAATTTCAAAATACAATTCATGCATTTAGGAATAAGCATTATCTTGTGAAAACAAACATGAACACTTGTGTGGAAAACAATCTCTTTATTTCTAAACAATCAATCATGCAAAAATATCCGATCATGAAAATTGTACTTCTATGTCATGGAAAATCATCAATACCATCAAACATTGTATCAACTTCAAACGTTACCTCTCCATAGACATCTCACAGTACTTTAAATAAAAACATGTTTCGTTGAAATAATTTTCTACTAAACTCTGAATTAGAAAGGCAGAGTAATAAACACACAGATGTCATTGCATGTGGTTACTTTCTTCTGTCTAGTGTGAGTATAGAACAAATTTCAAGATATCACCGCATTTCAACTTCTACACAAAGAATGTCTAAATTTACTTTAAAGTTACTTATCTAAAAAACTCATATCTGAAACTCTCCTAATTACTTTCAGAGGAGTGGGGAGTATTTATAATATAAGGCATGAGATAGAATATTTAGTCTCACAGTTATGGTCCTATGGACTATTTCCCAATGTTACAATTGACTCCGGTCTGTTCTAGTCAGCACATTCAATTTCCTGCAATTAGTTTCGAGATCATGGACTTGACTGATTTTTCAACATTCTTGGTTTTCAAGTTGTTTTTACCCATCAATATATTGTTGATTTTCAGCAAAATGTTGTCCAAGAAAAAATGGGACTTGCTGAGACCTTGTGCACATTGCAAATTATAGATGTAAAAACTGACAGATAAACCTTTGAGGGCATCAATAATATTGTCTGTAGTGTACACTTTCTGTCCCTCAGAAAACACATGGAAAACGCAAACGTCCACGAAGAAGCTTCCTCTGCAACTCCATCCCACAGAATGAAGGATGTAATTGCAACCTATAAATGGAAATGAAATACTTGTTCTAGGCCGTACAGAAGGTGTGCCCCTTGCGCCACTTAAGTTAAAGGAATTAACATATGTAAAACATACTGACATAAATATATATCTACTTATAAATATTCATACCATAAATACTTATTTTCGTTTTGGATAAAAAGTACTTGAACACATAATACTGTCTTTCGAACTTATAGGATGTAGAACAACGAATTATGGATTAACATCAACTCATAATTGCTCCTATTTTTTAACAATGTAACACTATCCAGTGTAACTCACTTGACAGTCCTTTACAATGAAGATCTTTGCCTCATCTCTTAGGAGTCCGGGAAGACCCAGGATCACTGTGGCCAGTGGGTGAGTGAGTTTGATTTTACGCCGCTTTTAGCAATATTCCAGCAATATCACAGCGGCACTGTGGCCAGTACTGCATCTGTACAAAGGATAGAGTATAACATAATTGACACTATTACCATAACTAATTGTAGGCATAACTGAACACATGGTTACACAACCAGACTGTTGTATCACCTAATGAAAAATATATCAGGTTTTCAGAAAGCTACAATCTTTCCATTCACTGTCCAAATTACTTGGAGCATAAAATTATCCGTGAAACAAATAAAAAAGTTGTTTATAGATTATATTTTCAGGGACCAACCATTCATTGGGTGTATAGCTATATTTACGCAATAGCGGCTGAAACAGGAAAAACATGCTTACACTTTTTCTGTTTCATCAGTTCTTGTATCCACGTCTTTCATCAAAGATTTGACATACTCCTGGACTTTCGATGAATTTCTGATTAGGTAATAGATTCTTTTTCAGACACCTTTCCCAGTCCGGAGTTCATTGTCTGCGATGTTAGTCTCTGTGAGTCGAGAGTATTCTGCACAGATCTGAAATCATAAACTATTTTGTGAAAAGATAAAAAAAAAAACACACTTTTATTTCTTTCTTTTAAATTTTGAGTGACTGTTACAAATTATACAATATGAGAGAAAACATGACAAAACATAAGATTAAAAGTTATGGACTTCATGGAATACATGTTTATTCAAAATAAATCTGAGAAACTTACTCTCGTGCTCTTACCTTCTAAATAAACTTCAGTCGCCAAATGAGTCCATCTTTGAAATAAGACGTCAATGATATCATTATTCTGATAAGACAGAGGATATCTGGAAACAAAAAAGACTGTTCTTATTAATGATATTATTGGCTTTACAGATACATTACAATTTGAGATATATCATTGAATAGGAAGTTCTTACTTGAAATTGTACAAGTTAAACATATATAACCAATTTAATGCTGATATCTTACACATAAGGGACGTAACTCTAATGGTATGACTGAGCTAGGGGAGGTAACTCTAATATATTGTCAATCTGTTGTTAATGTGACAATGAAGGTTGTCAAATGTAAACCGTGTTCCTGAAAATAATGGAATAGAAAATCTGTGCGCTTAAACTGAACATCGTGACATTCTAAAACACACGTAAGTACTTAATGTTATTACTCGACAGATATTTGTGTTATATCTAAGGCTATATGGCCAGTTATTCTTCGGAATGTGTGCACAAATTTGTGTGCTGACCAGTTGAGACATTTCTTCATGATTTTCCGTTAATATGGACAATGCTAGAATCAGAAACACTGTATTCTTACTCTATAGTTATCTAATGAAAGGAAACTGTAAAAGTGTTTTGCATATACTTACAATTACCACTCTTCCTGCTCACGTTGACGCTGCCGACGCGTTACAACTCATTTACTGTGACCTTCGCTGTGAAGGACATTGGAACTGCGCATGCGCTCAATCCGTCAAGTTTGACAACCTTGTATTGTCAAAGTTTTAGTAAACTCAAAATATGACAACGCTTTGACAATAAACTATTGTCAAGACATATCCTGTGTAAAACGCGTGGTTAAACTATAAACATGATCGTTAACACTATCTAAATATCATATCTAATGAATGTTTGTTTTAAAGCAATCAGTATAAGACTGCAATGTTGTCACAATGACAACATGGGTTGTCATACTGACAACTCTCAATGTTCAAACTGACAACTTATAATTGTCAAAGCAATAATGACAACGCTAAAATTGTCAAATTGACAACGTTTTATTTACAGTGTAGAAGAGTCGTGTATGATCTGATTGCAACGTCAACATTTCTATTCTTCCAGGCTCAGTACACCGGTGCAAGTATGAACAGTGCAAGGAGCTTTGGCCCCGCGTTGGTAATGGGCATCTGGGATCACCATTGGGTATGCATGGACTCGATAGCCTTTATATATCTTTGGCATCAATCAAAGTGATCTTAGGTCCATACTTGCTGAGATTCCTCTGCTTGAACATGGACACACATGGTATTAGGATCACTTTGTGCGATGACGCACTGGTTTGGGTTTACTAGAATGCAAACAGAGTAAATTAAGTCATCTATAGGCGGTAGGCGGATCCAGAAGTGTGTTTAGATCATGACGAAGTATACGTGGTTGTAGGGACAAAGTGTCTGTTTAGAGAACGAAAAGCCTGGGTCTCGTTCACTGGTCGCGCTTGTCCAACCATCAACCGTTACAATCTGACACTGGCTGACAAAACAAGGACTGGCGGGCTCGTTGTGGGGAGGCAAGATAACCCGCGTCACGGGCTAGGACTAGGGCATAAGAAGGCCAAGCGATGACCTATGTCCACCTTTTGTCCAGTCCATTGCTATAATAAGTTTATGCTTTCGAGGAGGACTACATAACTGGCTTGTCATTCAGATATATACACACTTCAAGAATCATGTTTCTTTGTTTTCTGGGGTGAGAGCTAAAGCTCTTGTCATGCCGAAAACCCGGGTTTGATTCATCACGTGGGCCCAGTGTGTCAAGCCCATTTCAGGTGTTCCCCTCCGTGACATTGCTGGAATATTCCTAAAAGCGGCGTAAAACCTCACTCACTCACTCATCCACCCACTCACTCACTCACTCACTTCTTCTTTCGATTTCTTACTTCCCTTCAGTTTTACATTAACAGTTCTAGAATTGTGAATTTGTATTTCAAACATTTACTCTAGCGCTTTCAAAAGAATCAATGTTCAGATTGCATGTGTTGCATAGACTACATGTATGTTTCAACACTTACAGGTATACTGGCTAGGTCCCATGTTGGGTGGAATCGCCGCGGGATTGGTGTATGACCAAATCTTTGCCGTCAACTCGTCTCTCCTCAAGACAAAAGAATGGCTGGGATCACGTGACTACGACGAGGACAGGATCTACCGATATATGTTGTCACGTGACCAGATGACAAAGAGGGGAAGCAGTATTGAGACACAGCCACTGAGCGTTGACATCAACGGCTTTGAGGAAGGAGAAGGGGTGTGGCAGTCCCGAGTGTAACGTGCTCCTGAACTCTGAACTTGTGGCATATGGTAAGACGCCGGTCAAGAAATATTTCCCTTCATTAAATGGGTATACCGTCTTGACCATTTTTCTCAATAGGTGCATGCACCCAAATAACATGTAGTTGGGCAGACGGACCAAGCTTGCTATTTCACATTAACACATGAAATATGTCATTTTGTTAATGTTTTCTTCATTCTGAACCTCGTCATGACTTTACACCGCACCTTAAACAGGCATGCTGTGGCTAATGGCTCTACTCAAAAATGGTTTACCAAGCATAATGATTTCAGTGAACACATGATCCTCCACAGAGAGTTGTACCCCTTTTACATGGACTAGACAGTTTCTGAAGGACTCGCTATGTATTTGGATATATCTGTATGTGTGTTCGTGTGTGCGTGCGTGCGTGTGCGTGTGGCCTTGCGTATGTCAGCTTTCTCAGACATTTTTGTCTGGTACTCCTTTTAGGGTGAAGTTGGCTCGGCTCTCAGAAGATGTATGAAATATCCACAACATTATAATTGTATAGCCATACTTTATACCCTCGGATCGGGTAGTTTTGGTTAGGGGGGACTCCCCCCGATATGTCGAGGGCGGACTCTCAGAATGTGGAAAAAGAATTTCTTATACAGGAAGGTTGATATTGTCTTTCAAGAAGAGAGGTAACAAACCCTCAGAGAGACAGTGTGTATCAAGGGAACAATTATAATGACGATTAAAAACCTACGGTTATATCTTTAGTTGTTGAAAATGATATAAAGTCCAAAGTCGTTCGAGGATAATTTCATATTGATGTCATCATGATACGACTCTTCAGAGCTACCTTTTGATGGTAATAAATGCTGATATCAAGGCCAACGTTGTTCGAGGATTATTTTGTATTAGTGGTACGACTGTTCAGAGTTACTGGTTGATGACAATACATGGACTGTACGGTCAAAGTGTTTGCGGGTAATAACGGATGTAGATATTACGGTGAGTGAGTGAGCTCATCTTAACACCTCTTTCAGCAGTATTCCTGTTAAAAACCGGCGTGGCAGACCTTTACCGTTTGGTTTAAACCCACAAACACCACTGTGGTGCTGATATACCAAGACATTCGGCAACACTCGCCCCTTTCCGTAGCCTAGTTTGTCCCGGAATCATTCGTAAATACTCGCCTCTTTCCGTGACCTACGGAATGACACGAGTAGTTACGAATGTCCCGGAATAACACGAGTGGGTTACGAACGATATCAAGGAAGATAATCGGAGTGGACCGGCATTCGAATTAAGAAATACAGTTCGTTCTACCACCATGTATAGTGTAATAAAACACACTTTCGCCCTGAACTATTATAGTTAAAGTACGAGGACGCTTGCGTCCGAGTGCTTTAACGTTATAATAGTTCAGGGCAAAAGTGTGCTTTATTACACTATACATGGTGGTAGAGCGAAGTGTATTTCTTTTCTAAGATGCCAAATTTAATACCTTCTAAGGATATTTACGATTAATTTAAGGCAGAAAACAAACGACGGTGCCGGTGACCAAAATTAAGAATCCTCGCACAGGGCTAACTGTTCTATTGATGTGTCTGGTACGACGAACGTTGAGTCGAATTGACGTTTTAACCGTCGTAAAACATTAAACGTAATGTTTCCACCAGTGATGTTAGCTGCGTGAAGCAACTGCAAACAAAGAAACGGGATGCAACGGAGTAGTTTACTGTAGGAGGCCGTACGAGGCGATGACAACTGACATGCATCGTGACGTCGCTTACATTGTGACGTAAGGTAAAATGTTTCGATTACGAGGGGGCACACTAGAATGGCGCGGTGACGGGATAACGTCATGCAATTGTTACGTCATCAAAAAACTATACCTTTATTGTCCAAGATATTTTTATGGATTAAACTTCTTTGTAATTTCTCTCACGACGTTTCGAGACCATTCCAGGTCCCTTCATCAGGTCTCGAAGCGGCGTAAAACCTCACTTTAATCCATAAAAATATCTTGCACATTAATTTTAATGTACAACTTCTAAATGCCACTGAAAGACATTATACCTTTATTGTCTGATAATGTTTGTTTTTTTCGATTGTTCTAACCGCTAGGCATCTTAGAATCCGCAAGCATAGGTGACGTGACCAGGAGACGCAATTCTGCGCCAGTTCTGCACTGTATCTTTGTTTTGTTGGTTGTGTAACGCCGCACCCAGCAATATTCCAACTATGTGCCGGCGGTCTCGTAATAATCGATTCTGAAGCAGCCAAACCAGCGATCAACAGCATGCGCATCAATCTACGCAGTTGGGATACATTGACATGTGTCTTACGACAAGCATGGGTTGCGGAAGACCAATTCTAACCCGGATCCTCACGGGTCGCGCTGTATGGTACACTAACAACTAGCTGTGTCACTGCCACGGGTTTAGGTCTCCTTCAAATCTGAGTAATGGCGACAGTGGCAGTATTTGGTCGGGGAATTGGGTTCGTTTTACGCCTTAGTCACTAATACACCAGCTGTATCACGATGGAATAGACAGCCAGACAGATTTTATTCAATAAAGAGGCCTTGGGCCCATGATGCATACTTTCTTGGTGATACCGAATAATACCTGAGTGAGAATATAGCTGCTGAGCAGGCACAGGTATGAAAATTTGTAATACAATATTATATGGACAACAAAATGCATTATAAATTGTTGGTTTTAAATGATGAGCCTTACTGTGTACCAGTGATAACTGAAGGGCTAAGTGCTTTAGGTTAATAGTGTTGGGTCTCAGTTTCCATATTTTATATAAATAAAGACATTTACTATGCACGATAGAGACATTATTGTGTACCAGTAATAATTACAAGGCTAAGTGCTTATGGATTAATAGTGTTGGCTCTCAGTTTCCATACTTTATATAAATAAAGACGTATACTATGCAGGGTAGAGACATGTATGTATCACGACGGAATATTGATGTCGAATCTTGGCCCGACAAACCAGTGTTTGAAGGTATAAACAACAATCCACACGGTGTAAGAATAGACACCAATAGCCATCACCGTGGGTGATCCGTATATAAATCGGCTTATAATCCTTCTCAATTATTGGTGTGAATAAATGTGTATTTGCGAACGCGACTAAATTTAATAACAAAAGTGCTTGTATTTCTTTTGTTATATAGTATGACCAGAAATTATTGAGAATTTTAGGAATATGTTTAATTGGATTTCTAGTATAAACAACCTTGACCAGCTATCAAATGCTTGGTTTCATTCAAGAGAGACAACTCCGTTGATCCTTTTTCATTAGTTTGTGAAGAGTTATCCCCCTTTGTTTACTTGCTAGCAGACGACATTTTCAGTGATCCTCTGTATGGATGATTTAGAGAAGAGGAAGTTGATTTTAGAGTATTATAACAAGGACATCAGATCAGCTAAAGTGATTTCAAGTAGAACAGGCATCCCATCCCTTTGTCCACTGTTTATCGTGTTTTGAAAAATATTGCAAATGGATATGGCATTGAGCACCAGGGGGCGCAGGTAGGCCCAGAAAATTGACTGTCAGTGACAGGAGGCGGCTTGGTATTCTTGTTTCTGAAAACAAACGAAGGAGTTAGAAAACTTAAGGCTGGATATGATTGATAGGGGAACTGTGACTGTCTGTAAGGAGACAATTAGAACTGAGCTGCATGCAATGGGTTGGCAGAAAAGTCGAGGAATTCTATCACCGATCATGAAACCTGAACAAAAGGAGCGAAGGTTGAACTGGTGCTTACAGCATAGAAATTGTAACTGGGACAATGTGATTTTCTCAGATGAAAGTTCTGTGTGGCTGTTTCCTAATACACTGAAATTCTGGACCAAACAAACTGAAAACACTTTGTATCAGGCCCAAAGTACAGTCCGAAATTTAATGTGTGGGCTGGCATATCTGTGTTAGGGGCAACGCCCCTCTGTATATTTGAAGGGAATATGAACAGTGAGCGGTACACAGATATTCTCGAGGGACATTTACTTCCATCTGCTCACGTGTTCTATGGACATTTGTGGATTTTCCAGCAGGACAACGACCCAAAACATCCTTCAAAACATTCACAGGCCTGGTTTCGGACCCAAAATATGACATTAATAGATTGGCCAAGCTATAACCCTGACCTAAATCCAATAGAAAATGTTTGGGGACTTATGAAGGAAAGTGTCAATAAGAAAAATCTGACAAATATTGCTGAAATGAAAGAAGGGGTGGTCCGATATTGGGACAGCACTTCTTTGATCAGTAGTATGCCCCGCCGCATTGAAGCCTGCATTGCTGCCTATGGTGACTTGACAAAATACTAACTGTTCACCTGTCTCTGAATCTGGAGTTATGTTCTGCTAATATTCACATTTAATACGTGAGTAATGAGTGAAAAAAATATAAAAAATTACAATCTTTAATTCTCAATAATTTCTGGTTGTACTGTAACATCAGCAGATAACACACCATCATCCTAACTCAAGACATGAAAGATAAAAATCAAGCAAGTTTCTTAGTTTTCTATAGCTCACCTCAGCTGAAAGTAAGGAAGCTGTGGGGCTTTTTGTCTGTTAATGAATCAGGTAGAAGTTGATTTGTTGGAAAGACTGGTAGGCCATTACAGCCAGGTATTTCCTACAGCCACTGTAAATTGCTAGGGTGACCAACGTGAATAACGGAGAGAGCTAAGCAAACTAGAATACATGGGTATAATGTCTGGAACACATACTGCCCTACCTACTAACACGGACGGTGGTAACCACCGACACGCATGCACACAATCACACAGAGCTGGAACATTTTTTAAATAAACATTACTTACTTGCTCTCCTCAATCATCCTCACGTGAAAGTAATTATCACTACACGACCAGTGCGACGTATGATACGTTTCATCTGTCGTCCTTCAAATGTCACTACACACACCATGGGCGGATCCAGGAATTTGTGTGTGTGTGTGTGTGTGTGTGTGTGTGTGTGTGTGTGTGTGTGTGTGTGTGTGTGTGTGTGTGTGTGTGTGTGTGTGTGTGTGTGTGTGTGTGTGTGTGTGTGTGTGTGTGTGTGTGTGTGTGTGTGTGTGTGTGTGTGTCCCCGAAGCCAAACGGACTATACATGTCACTGCACACTGTTTTCATAGTGTTCGCAGAGCCAGTAAAATATTCATTCATTACCCTTGAAAGGATAGCGAGAGTGTACATGAACAAAATCATTTTATGGATGTTAAATTCTTTATTGTGAGGAGTATCCGCCACTGAAGTCGTAAGAAGTATTTGCTGATAAACACTCAACATTCGTATTGTGATCAATTGTCCAACACATTATTTATCAAATCGGTTCAGTTCACAACAGAGAGTGTGTTCATAATGCAGGCAACGGCAGTAAAATACGCATCTCAACCCACTAAAAATTTCATTACATGAAGAGGGTATCCGTATCCTGACTGGAATACCACTGACATATTTTTTACCATTGTTTAGAGAGCATGCAGCTATATCGGTGATGGACTCCTTTGATGTAAGGGTGACTACGGATGACGTCCTGCTTGTTACCAGACTTGTGATCCAGTGATGGAGTCCTTGCAAAAGTGAGTGAGTGAGTTTAGTTTTACGCCGCACTCAACAATATTCCAGCTATATGGCGGCGGTCTGAATATAATCGAATCTGGACCAGACACTCCAGTGATCAACAGCATGAACATCGATCTACGCAAATTAGATACGATGACTTGTGTCAACCAAATCAGCGAGCCTGACCACCCGATCCCGTTAGTCGCCCCTTACAACAAGCATGGGTTACAGAAGATGAGTTCTAACCCGGATCTTCACGGGTACTCCTTGCAACAAGAGTTGTGACCAGTGATGG